TAATAAAATTACTAGCTAACTAAATCAAAACAAATACATTTATGTTAGTTTTATAAGTTATAAAAAATTTAAGAGAAATGTTGATAAATGACAAAAACACTAATTACAAAAATTTAAGAAATTAAATTATTTAACAAAATATATTATAGAAAAACTTAATTAATTTATAAATAATAATAATAAATTCTACTACTATTAAATAACATGTTAAATTTTTTATTTTCAATTTCTTAATTATATTAAAAAATTTCAATTAATGCTAAACAAGCCATTATAAATATTTTGTTTCATATTTTACTTCATTAAAATTACTATATAAGGACAAATGTAATTTATTTTTTTATGAAAATAAAATTATAAATAAAAATTAAAAAATAACCAAAAAATTATAATATAAATTAAATAAAACCTACATTGAAATTGGGTATAATTTTTGACATATGCTTCCTTGAAGAATCCATATATGAATCCATACCATTTTTTTTAATATAATTTTCTCTTCTAATTTTAAATTTTTAAATTTTTTCCTCATAATTGTTTATTTTTAAAAAATCTTTTCACTCTTCAATCTCATAGCTATCTCTTTCTCTTTATTCTACCTTAGATTTCTCTCTCCCTTCTTTCATGCACATGACTCTACTACATTTGAAGGTCTTGTTTATAGCCTCAAAGTTTGTTAAAGATAATTTTTTGAAGCATAAACTTGCGTGTCTGCCTTTTACAGTAAAAATGATAAAAATTCTTGACTCAAATATCATCAATAATAATTTTTGAAAGCAATACATAGATTCTTTCAAATCAAAGGTTATCAATGACGACTTTTAAAAACTCCAAGTCCCATGAATAGATAGATATTCAACTTGCTTCATTTATCTTGTTTCTTGTTCATGAAAATTTTTCGAAAGTTCAACATACATCAATCAACCTTCATTTCATATGAATGGAGTTTTAAAATTCTAATTTTTGTTCTTGTTGATAAAAAAATTGTTAATGACATTTTTACCGCAATTAGATTCACGTAATTTTACCCAAAAAATTATCATATTTTTGCAATATATATTTTAATTTCCCATATTTAAATTATTTTTCCAATTTTTTCAGTCCAACAGTCAACACAAATTTCTTAAAATAAAAACTGTTATATAGAATGAAACTAAACACATAAAAAGTGATTAATTATTATTCACTGACGGAGATTGATCCATGGTCATTCATGTGGGTTCTTTGCCTGTATAGGGTTAAAACCAAAACATTTTATCCGTATGGGGTTATTTGATAAGAAATTCCCTGCTTAGGGTGATTTGTGAGTGTCGTCAAAACGTCTGGCGACACATGATCAAGTATCGGCTGAAAGAATGCCGACACAGGTGTCAGAACCCACTACTGAGAGCGGTTCAAAATGAACCGCTCTCATAAATCAATTTTAGAGAGCGGTTGTAACGGAACCGCTCTCTAAAATGGACTTTTGAGAGCGGTTCAAATCGAACCGCTCTCACAAGTCTGTTTTAGAGAGTGGTTCAAAATGAACCGCTCTCAAAAGTCCTGTTAGAAAGCGGTTCACACTAGTGTCGGGTTGTTCAGGACCGACACACACCCATTGGTCCAGGCCCTCCATCTTTCTTCTGTTATTCATCTTCTTCGGTGAAAATTTTTTGCAAACATACTGCGCAAACGCTGGAGGTGGAGTGGAGAAGCAGGGCAGTTGAATGCAAAAGTTTTAAAGCTTTGAAAGGTAAGAAAAAAACACTATAGTGTATATTAGATATAAATATAAAATATTTATTCTTGTTTCCGTTTTTGGTCCCAGGAATTGCAATCTGTGGTGGTCCAGGGTATTGTGAGAGGGACTTTCGGTGGTGTAGATTCTTAGCAAAAGGAGGTTAGTAAAAATTTATATTTATAGTGATTTTGTTATGCATGTAAAAAATAGGAAAATAGGAATATAGAAAAATAGAAAAATAAAAAAATAGTTAAATTAAAATATATAATTTTCTTGTTACTTATGTAAAAAATAATTAAATAAGAAATATAAAAGAATTAAATTGAATAAATATATGAGGAAAAATTATGTATGTTATTATTATAAGGTTAATAAAATATAAAATTATGAATAACAAAATAAAATTGAAATAATAAGAATGAAAAATATTAATTAATAAATTTATATTATAAAAATATAAGGAATTAAGTAAAATAAAGATGAATATATAAGCAATGTAAGTTAAATAAAATTGAAAATATTATTTTAAAATATAAATGACTGAAAATAAAAATATTAGATCAATATTAATTTAGACATTTGAATATTTTAAAAAGTTTGTAGTTATTTAAATGATTTTAATCAATAATAATAAATTACAATTTTATGCATGTAAAAAAACAAAAAAAGGGAAAGAGAAAAATAGGAAAATAATTAAATTAAAATTGATTTTTCGTTTTATTTATGTAGAAAACTGTATTTAAAAGTAAAAATGATGATGATATTATTATTGTTATACAAATATTATTATCTTAAAATAACAAAAAAATATAATTAGAAAAATATTATTTGAAGGTACAAATTGTTTAATACTAAAATGATATTGTTTTTATTAAATTTGGTTGCTTATATTATAAATTTGAAGTAAATAGTTTACTTGTTTATATAGATTTTAGATGGCATCATCTTCGTCTCGTAGTAGGGTGTTAAATCTTGGCCCCGAGGATGGTTCATTACTGCGCTATCAGTCTATTCATGTTTCAGAGTATATTTGGGATGGTCGTGAACACCCAATATTGAGAGTGAGAAGAGGTCATTTCATACATGCTGGCATGGAGGGAGTACCAGTAGAGATTATTTCTCATTTGACAGTAGCAGGATTTGCTGGAGTAGCACAGTTGTCTAGTATTCCTATTGACCGCCAATTGATTACAGCGTTGGTAGAAAGATGGAGGCCAGAGACCCATACATTTCATATGCCCCCTGGAGAGTGTGCTATTACTCTTCAAGACATTGCTATTCAGATGTGTCTTCGTATTGATGGAAGACCAGTTATTGCCCCTACAGGAGGTGACAGGGCACAAATTGTTGAAGATTTATTGGGAATTAGACCACCTAATTCTGCATTTATGGGGAGCAGCTTGAAACTTACTTGGTTGGATGAGCATTTTTCCCATGTTGGGTTGCACAACCAAAATCCCATTCAGCTAACTCGCTTTGCAAGAGCATATATTTTGAGACTTATTGGTGGGTTTATGTTAGCTGATCATTCTAATAGCAGGGTCCCAGTTAGGTACCTTCCTTTACTTGAGGATTTAGAGATAACTGGACAATATAATTGGGGAAGTGCAGCGTTAGCCTTCCTATACAGAGAGTTATGCATGTCCACGAATATTGATCGGTCTGGTATTGGAGGATTGACTCCACTTGTGATGCTGTGGGCGTGGGATAGGTTCCCATTTCTATCTCCGGGTGATCCCCCTTACACACAGAATGATCTTCCTTATGGTGCACGGTATGTCTATAATATTAAAACTTTCATTCAATATTTACACAACAGTATTTTATTACAAACAGTCATGCTAATATTTATGTTTTTATAGGTGGTTAAGATTTCAAAATTTTAAGAAGGGGAGAAAGGATCTAGCTTACTTTAGGTTCAAATTTGATCATTTGAAACGTGATCAGGTATGCGTTATTTGTTTATGATATATGTTATCATCAATTAATAATTATGAATAATTACAATAATATTTTGTACACTTGCAGTTTGTGTGGCAACCATATAGTATAGATTTGATGCATACTTTGCCTGCCATATGCACTGAGGGCATGCATATATGGAGAGCTATTGTGCCGCTTATTTGTTTCCAAATATGTGAATGGCACCAGCCCGATCGTACCATGCGTCAATTTGGGATGGTACAACATATTCCTCATGCTCCTTATCAGCCAGACCAGCTACATGACATTACTCTTAGAGGAAAGACTGCTGACAATTGGGAGTCAAAGTTCATGGGCGTACTAGAGCATTGGGACAGGAGATTAGATTGGGTTGTGAGTAATGAACCACAAATTGGTCTACTGAGTTCGAACTCTGAATACATGCGGTGGTACCATACTCATACTAGACGATGGATGAGCAGAGATGCTGCAGTGTTTGCATTACTTGTACGTATAGATCGTTCTAGTAAACGATTTTGTTTGTTTAATAGAATCTAATCTGAATGTAATGGTTATGTAGGGAGATGCTCATGAGAGGGCCTATTACTTGTGTAATGATGGGAATGACACATTTTCATTTGAGGAGATGAAGGATTTGTGTGAGACGATGTTAGCCTTGCAAAATGAGCAGGAACGTATCTTAGAGCCTTCATCCTCATGTGATCCTCCTATCCAGAGTGGAAATCTAGATGAGCCTCAGATTGACATTGGTATTGGTGAACAACGTCGGGAAGGCAAAGGTTTGCAACGTCGACGAACGTCATTTCAGGTATTGTTACCTTATGCTTCATTGGGTCATTTTACTTAAATTATAACATGTTTCATTTGAACATACTTATGTGTTTAAAATTGCAGGCCACAGATTTTACATTGCCCCATTTGCCCGAACGAGGAGATGGTACTTATTATGTCCCACCAGATTTTACATTAGTCGTCATGTGACCATAACGCCGCCCTTCATGATCATAAGCCAAGCTCCACTTTTCCTTTGATATGTTGTCAATCCATGTTTGAACTTCAGGAGAATGCGAACGAAATTTATTAAGACCAGCTTCAAATCTTTGCTTGCAAGGTGTATACGCTACATTTAAATAAGTTATACAGTTAATGGTGAAAAATAAATATATATTCATAGATAATGTAAAATGTAATAGTGATAACATACTTACCTAATTTCATAAGCATACTCTTCATTGCGGAATTTTTTAATCTTCTATTGAAATTGCTTGCAATGTGACGAATGCAATAAACATGGCAAGCATTAGGAGGTTGCCACCCAATATGTGGATTAGACACATCATTTTTTAATACTTTGATGGCGATCAGATATTAAACAAATTTCAGTTTTATCAGTAACATTTAGACGGATCATGGCTAAGAACCATTCCCATGCTGATAATGTTTCTCCTTCAACAATGGCAAATGCTATAGGAAGCACACTGTTATTGCCATCTTGAGTTGTACCAATAAGCAATGTTTGCTTATACTTACCATACAAAAAGGTACCGTCTACCTGTATTATAGGCTTGCAAAACTTGAAGGCTTCACGACATTGCCTAAACGACCAAAATACTCGATGAAAGACTCTGAATCTATTATCCATTACATTACCTCTCACATAATCATTGGTCTTAATTTTGTAAACTGACCCTGGAGCATGTAATTGCATGTATTCTAACCATCTTGGTAATGTTGCATAAGATTCATCCCAATCACCAAATATTGTCACAATTGCTTTTTGCTTTGCTTTCCATGCTTTTTTGTATGAAACTGAATACCCAAATTGGCCACTTATTCTCTCTTGGATTAATGAAACAGGAACAGAAGGTTTTTCTTTGACCATACCTGTCAATAAAATTAAATAATACATCTCAGCTAATGATCATATCCAAATCATTTTAAATACACAAATAAATATAATCTCAATTGAGTTTCACGTACCAATAATGCATGAACAAATAAAATTTGAATCTAACTTTTTGTGGTCTTGAGAAATCATAGTATTAACGCAGGTATGCATACCACCCCATCTCGTAATTTTTCACTTATTTGAATTTTTGGGAAGCAATGCTCTTACTTTCCAAGGACACCTGGAAATATGATTCACACACTTGACAAAATGAGTTGATGCTTTTGACTCAACCACAAAAAATGTTTGATGTTTCTTCATTGCATAATGTTTTATCGCCATCTTTACCTCCTCTTTAGAGTCAAATAGTTGTCCAACATATGATGCATCTCCTTGTACCCATGATTATGACGAATGCAACTCCGAAAAATTCAATTCTTGATCAGGATGTTCCCAATTAATAGCAGTGTAGTGTGAACTTATGTTCCAAAAAGGTGTTATAGAATCTGTATTAAACTCAACAAATTTTAGTTAAAAATATTTAACAATTATTGTATTATATAAAATTGTACCTGCAGATTGTCCTTGCATAATGTTATTTCTTTAATGCATCTCCTTGTACCCATGATTATGACGAATGCAACTCCGAAAAATTCAATTCTTGATCAGGATGTTCCCAATTAATAGCAGTGTAGTGTGAACTTATGTTCCAAAAAGGTGTTATAGAATCTGTATTAAACTCAACAAATTTTAGTTAAAAATATTTAACAATTATTGTATTATATAAAATTGTACTGCAGATTGTCCTTGCATAATGTTATTTCTTTCAGTGTTTGGAACTGTCATCATTGAATCGAAGCCATCTTCCAAATCAGTATCAGAAGAACTATCTAAAGGAATTTCTCCTTCATCTTCATAGTCATCATCGTACTCATCTTCGTCATCTGTAGATGCAGCAGCAAATATTTATTAACAAATTATAAAATTTTAAACATCATATAATTGAAATAAATATTATACATTACCTCCTCCAATTGCATACTCTTCTTCATTGTCACTAACAGACACAGTTGGGAGTGATACATTTAAACATAACAAACTTTCACCTACATGAGAAGTTTCACCAACCGCAATATCCACATATAACTCAACTACTCTTTCATGCCGTTCTTCACAAGCACTTATCATACAGTCAATGTCTTCATCATCACATACATCTAAAATTGTGTAATTTTCACTCCTTGAATCAACTAAAATTCGTGAAATTAGTCTAGAAATTACATTACTATTGCACAATTTCAATTTTGTATGTATTTTTTTTTTCAACATCTCAAAAGTAATTTCACGTTCTTTTTTAATCATTTTCTTATTCCTTTCAAATATGATACCCTCATTTCCTTCGTACACTCTTCCATTCCAGTATAAAATAACCACAATTTCAGTCATCCTGTGTATCAAATTAAAAAATACAACCAAAATTATTAAAAAAGTTTACCTAAACAAATAGTAACAAAAATAATTACCACAACATTAAAATAATATATTTTTACATTTATATTAACATTAAATAAATTAAATTTATTACTACAAATATTTTTATTTTTATTTATTTATAATAATAGTAAAATTATTAATTCAAATTTATTTACAATAATAAAAAAATTTAAAACAATAAATTAATAACATTCTAACCTTTTTTTTCCAGCAAGAAAGCTCACAATTGCGTCCCTTCTCCTCACAGTTGCGGAATGCAGCAGCAGAATGCTCGGCAGGAGCCTCTATATATTAGGAAGATAGTGTCGGCATTCTTTCAGCCGATACACAAGTGTCGCATAAATAAAACCGACACACATGACTTTTGAGAGCGGTTCAAATTGAACCGCTCTAAGAAGTGAATTTTAGAGAGCGGTTCAGGTCGAACCGCTCTCAAAAGTCCGTTTTAGAGAGCGGTTCAATTCTAACCGCTCTCAAAAGTCATTTTAGAGAGCGGTTCTATTCGAACCGCTCTCAAAAGTCCGTTTTAGAGAGCGGTTCCGTTACAACCGCTCTCAGTAGTGGGTTCTGACACCTGTGTCGGCATTCTTTCAGCCGATACTTGATCATGTGTCGCCAGAAGTTTTGACGACACTAACAAATCACCCTACGCAGAGAATTTCTTATCAAATAACCCCATACGAATAAAATGTTTTGGTTTTAACCCTATACAGGCAAAAAACCCCATTCATGTCGCAGTTAAAATATAAAAATACTTTATTTAAAACTTTTACTTGTGATTTTGTGTGTATGCATTTTGCATTAATTGTTTTTTTTTTTATAAAATATGATATTTTCTTAGATTACTCTTATAAACATCCAGTTTGAAAGCGATAATTAAAAAAAGTAAGGATACAAAAAGAGTAAAAAAAAAGTTAAACATAAAAAGATAAAAAATATAAAGATTTGTATATATTTAATTAAGTAGATGATTGTTGGAAACTTTCAGATGTTTATATCTCCCAGTTCACAAACATCTGCGGTCTTTAAGCATGTCGTGCTGTCTTGTCAAATCACGAAGCCTTCAATGTCTTCCAACTGTCTAACTAGGGTAACACGTTAGGTTTTTTTTTTAATAAATATATCAGTAGCATGATTTATCTAATATTTTTTTTAATTAAGACAAAAAAAATAATAAATTTTTACGTTGATTTACTCATTAATTTTAAGATGATTTAATTTAATTAAAAAACTAAATATTATTTTTACAACATTACAATGTAATAAAATGAATATAATTGTATAACACTTTTACCTTACATCTAAATATGCACTAGATGAATAAACTCTCTTTTTTTATCTAGTCAAATAGGTTCAAAGTATACTATATATAATGAAATCAAATCCTATTTTGTCGCGAATAATGTGTGAGCATGGGTTCAAGATCCCATTTCGTCGTATACCTAGACTAGAATTTTTTATTTCATGATTATGAATATAAATGCTTAATGGTAGTTAGTTATAGAACAATAAATAATAGAGCATTATAACAATGTAAAAAATAATTAAAAAATTTAAGTATATATATACTTAACTCTGAATAAAAATTAACATTTTTAAAACCTTAGAGTTAATCTCTAAAATAAATTTTAAAATAATATATTTTCTTATAAAAGAATCTTACCAGAATTCCAATAATAGAACTGAACTTTTCTTCTTCTTTATTTTTCTTTTCAATTCTTTCTAAATCAGTGTAAGTTTAACACAAAATCAAAGAAAAGGCAAAGATGGCGACAACTTGAGTGGTGTTTTGCAAAGGCATTTTGACTATGACTCAACTACAAGAAACCAGTACAATAGGTTACAGGAAATAAATTTGATTCAGAAAAAAATGATAAAAGAAAAAATGAGAAGGAGAGGTGGTGGTTGATGAAAAGTAAGAAAAATTAATAATAATAATCTATTGCCAAAGAGGAGAAAGTATTTTAAATATGAGATTAATAAATGGTAAATATTGAAATATGATTTTTGTTGTTGCAAATTTACAAGAATATGGCATAATAAAAAACGTCAAAGGCAATTTTAACGTGAATAGTTTCATGACAAGAGGGTCAGAGTAGAGCTGCAGTGAGTGCCTAAAACATAACAAAAAACGTTAAACGCAATTTTATGTGAATAGTTCTATGCACGGATTCAGAGTAAAGATTAAAATTGCCAAAGGTGTTTTCAACTTGGTCAAAAGCAGCTTTGCAAAAGTTGTTTTGTCAAATCGATACAGGTGGCAATAAACTTGCTGTTGGCGATTTTGAATGCTGCCATGCAGGGAACTAGACCAGTCTGACTCTATAAAGTCAATGTTGGCGATTTTGAACGTGTTAAAACGCCAATATCAATTTTAAGCCTATATATTTGTTGCATGCGAGAAAAAAGGCGGGACAAAGTTTAAGAAGAAGTGAGATTATGGAGAAATAGAGAGAAGGTCGAGAGAGGTAGTAGGAAATTAGGAGGAAAAAATAGAAAAAATTATATTTAGAAGTTGAAAAATTGGAATTGCAGACAAAATGGTTAAAGATACAACTCTTGATTCAATGAAACATATTTCGGAACAAATTCAAAATTTAAATGTAAGTTTTTCTATGTTATTTAATATATTTTTATGTGTATTTTAATTTTGGTTTAACTTTTAATGAATAAAAGTAGTTGATTTTTTTTAAGCAATAAGTAATTTTTTATAATAATTTATATTGTTATAGTAATTAAAATTAAAAAATGCTAAATTTGTGTTGAAAAAAGCTTAAAATAAAAAGCTCGTAAGTTTTATTTTGAAATGTGTTATGTAACAACTTGAATTTAATTTCAATTAAATAATAATTTTACAAATTTGAATAATCCAAATTTTCATAAGATATTTCAAAATAAGAGAAGGGTCACAAATTAATATCAAATAACTACTACAGGACTGGTTCAATTACAATATTTTTAAAATAAAATCTAAGTCCTATAGCAGTGCATCCGTCCCTTCACTGAGTCCGGTGTTGATCGTCTTGATTACCTGAAAAATGAATGTAAAGATGAGTACTCTACACTATTCAATACACAACTATCATAGAGTCTCACCTTATTTATACTTCACGCAAAGTACACATAAATAACATTTTCATTTCAATTTGTCACTGATACACTTATGGCACCAAACAATCATATATATATATGAAATTAACAAACAGTAGTCTCGTGCACTCACTGCACGCCAGCCACGCTCATTGTGGCACTATGATAACAGATTTTACCATGGATGGTCGTCGGTTATCCCTGCCTCACGAATACCACGTGGGCAGTCACGGGTCGTTCAGCAAAGGTAGTGGTCAGAAGTCTAGTCAAGAAGAGAGTGTGTGGCCCGTGGTACACCCGTGCTGCAGTCGGTATCACCACCACTCCCTCTTCCCCAAGATATTTCTACCGTCCTCATCTTCCACACCCTCAGTGTATCGCTGAACCATTCAAAACACATTACAACGGCGCTAACACGCCCATTCACATATATTCTATTCACGCATGCAATAATCATGCTTACACACGGCACTAGGCTCACATTCATTTCACACACCGCAATATATAGCAAAATTCTATCAACCACATATACTCTCATCCACACACATAATATTCACATGTCACAACACAATATTAAACTAAATAACGGTAAATTACATACAAAGAGTATGGTAGAGTTCTCCCTTACCTTGGATTAAAGACCCACACTCGGATTCAATCTTGAAAATGATCCCCACACAGATTCGGCCTAACCACATGGAAAAACTCCATGAGAACCCAAGGAAACCACAAAAACAGAGAATGGGGTTGAAAAACGGAAACCCTAATCATTAAAATTCACCTCCAAGCGTTTCCCACACAGATTCAACCTCCAATCTAGCTTCCGAATAGCTTTGGAGGCAATTTAATCAGTGGAAAAGGGTTTTGGGTCGAGAGAATCGAAGGGATTTTGAGAAATGAATTCTCAACCCTAAACCCTCTTTTAAAACCCCTTAAATCGCGACACTCTCGCTGCAGTGACACCCTCTGTCGCCACAACGAAAATCTCAGATGAAACTGCACCCTGGTTTCTGCAAAATCTTACTACAACGAGACTACACCCAGAAATGCACTCTCCTTTGTCGCTTTCTCGCCACAACAAGATAGTCTCGTTGCAGCGAAAAGGCAACAGTTTCGCCCCTTTCCTCCAGGTGTCGCTCGCTACAGCAAGAAATTCCCTCGCTACAGCGAGAACACCCTACACTTAGGCACTTAGCCCATTTTCAGCCTAATCTAGTCATGCATATATATATATATATATATATATATATATATATATATATATATATATATATATTTACACACATCCACAACATATATCCAAATACATACACATATATCTATATATATATATAACGATCAAGGTTACAAAAATTCGGGGTGGGTGTTACATGTTATTATTAATATATTATGTTAATTTTTATATATGATATGTAGTATATTATATTATAATATATTTTGTTGTAAATATTGTTGTTTATTATATTATTATAATGAAAATGAATTTTATAAGAATTATACAATTATTAGTAATATATATTTAGTTGAGTTTTTTTAGTAATAGGTAAATCTAGAATTTTTATAACAATTTATAATTTTATAGTTATTAAAATAAAGAGTATTTTCAATTTATGTTGAAAAAAGCCTATGATAAAATATTAAAAATTTTATTGTGTAATTTTTATTTTAGAATATGTTATCATTAATGTATTATGTTAATTTAAAATTGATTATATATGATGTGAAGTACATTGTAGTTTTGTTGTAAATATTTTTTTCAATTATATTATTTTAATGAAATTTGATTTTATAAGAATTTTATAATTTGTTAAATATTTATTAGGATTTATGTAATATAGATAGTTGTTTTAGTGATAATAGTTTTTTTTAATTATTTATAACAGGTAATGAGATTGTTATACTCTCGTTACTTGTCAATAACGCCTCCAAGGATTAAAATTATGAAAATTTTACGACATGGTGGATTTGATCAAATTTCTCAACTTTGTGAAATGCAAATAAACGGTTCACTGATAAATGTGCTAATGGAACGTTGGAGGCTTGAAACACACATTTCACTTAGTCTGTGAAGAATGCACAATTACATTAGAAGATTTGTACATGTTACTTGAACTTAAGATTAGCGGTGTAGCAGTGATTGGTTCTACAAATCCTTTTATTATTGTTATACAGGATATGTGTGAAAATTTAATAGGAAGCTAACCTGATTCAAATGACATTGACAGATCAGAAATTAAATTAAAGTGACTATTCCAACACCTTGGTTTGCTTCCTTGTAATTCTGACATTAAGTTACAACAACATGCTCGTGGTTATATTCTTTACTTATTAAGACATGTTCTAATGCCAAATAAAAGTAATTTAGTGGTGCATGCAAAATGCTTGCAGTTGTTAACAGATGTGAATGAAATTGACAATTACAGTTGGGAATCAACATGCTTAGCCTTTATTTATAGATGCTTAGATTGAGCTTTTATACATGATGCTAAAGAAATTTGTGGCTGCTTGATACTTCTGCAGGTGTGGGCATGACATCGCCTCCCATGGCTTGCTCCAATCCTGAGAGAACCACTAATATTTTCACTTACTCTTAGATGGAGACGATTACAATATCCAACAGAAAATTACGTTTAAGAATTTTCAGAATATTAGATTAGCATTGAATCAAATGGGTCTTAATGAGGTAAAGAGTTTTACAAAATGTTATTAAGATGTTATGTCATGAAACCCTTTATTAATAAGGTGTTGTAACGCCCTATATTTTAGAATAATATTTTGGTTTTTATATATATATATATATATATATATATATATATGGAAATTTTCATGTATTTGTATGTTTGAGTAAATGATGATGGCGTTTTATAATGTTTTCTGATATCCGTGATTACTCAAAGGTTGTCGTTGGCATTTTTAAAAAAGTTAAAGTAATTTCTGACAGTCAAAAATCGACATTAGCGATTTTAACCAGTCTTTCATATTTTTTCATATTTTTTCAACTTCTAAAATTGTTATTGGCGATTTTACTTTTGTAAATTTTTATTTTTATTTTATCCAAAATCGTCATCGGCGTTCCACCATATTTTAGTAATTTTGTAAAAAATGCCATATTTTAGTAGTTTCTTAAAAAAAACAATATTAAAAAAAAACCCGCAAAAGAAAGCAAAATATTTACTTAATTTATATAAATAAAACACCTCACTATATATATATATATATCGCGAAAATAACCGTTATTGCAAATCATACCTTCAAATGGTGGCCAACCAAGATGGTATTGGGCCTATCGTTATTGCGAGCCTTGTACCAAGAACGAGGTTCTTCTCTGTCCTAATTGAGCCCACTTCATCATTACACACGTTTACAATTTATTCTTATTTTTTGACCCCAGAATTTTTTTTCTTTTTCGAAAGTGAGCTTAATATTGAACAAAATGCTTAGCTATTTATGATATGCTTAAAAGACCTTGAAAAGACACGTTCTTATTCACTGAACAACTTCTCCCAATAGTAAATTTCGTTCCGAATAATTAAATCACGTATCGATTAGAATAAAACAATTATTTAAAATGAGGATAAAATATTTTTTATATTCGATATAGTTGAAGATATTTCACCTATAGTTTATGATTCAAGTTGATTTAAGCAGTTACGACCGTACTTTATCATGTTAAAATTTTAAACTAGTAAAAGCGTACCACTAAAATCTTACACCCAAGCTGCATGCACTGTGAAACATACCATTGAAAAGAAGTCTTACTGTAATTCTCACACGTCTTTCCTTTATATATAACTAACTCTATTTGGTCTCGTTGCTCGTCTCTTATTGCAATTAATAATTTGCAAATCACATTCTGATTCTTGCACCATTTATAGAGAATCTTATTCACTCGCAGGGGATTCATGAAGACAAACCAAACCTCAAGGTCCCCCACCCTTGTAGTGCTCCCTCTACCTTTCTTTTTCTACATTATAGTTGAACATTAGCATTCAATATTTTTAAATATTTGTAATTCTGAACCATTTAATAGAACCAGGTTCTTTCTAGAAGGAAAAAAAATCAGATCGTTCAAGAAAATCTATTTCTACAGAAAAATTCTCAAATCATGGTGGTGGATACTGTATCCCGAAATATAATTGTATCTAATGTGAGATCATTAGAATATTGATTACCTAATTAATGTTATATAAGCAATATGACTTCACAAAATGACTCACGAGTACTGTAGTTTAATTTGGATAAATCTTTACAGAAGAAAAAATCAATACACAAAATAAATGAAACTCTTTTCATAAATATTTAGAAAAAGAATATAATTTAATTGTGTTACTTTTATAAGTATTTATCGAATAAAGCTATCACATGGAACCTATATATCTATCCTGAGTTTGACATTTTCAACCTTGACAAAATTGATGAAGATAGGTTATCTTTACTTTTTGTTATTTATAATGATAATAAATATTTTTGTGAGCCACAAAGTAGTATTTGTGTCCTTATGCGGCTATAACTGAAATGATTTCCCAAATAACGATGCGGAAAAGGCACTTACGAGAGAAAGAGAGGAAGAAGGGCAAAAGAATTTCAAAATTTGCAAAAGCCACCACCTTGACCATCCAGATACAATGGACACGCAACTTTTCAATATTGGTCTTAGTTTCGTGGCAGAACATTCTTAATCATCACGTGCCAACAATGCTCACGTGGCCTAATCAAATTGTGGCTTTCCCCATTGTGCCCATTTTTTCAACCATATATAAATAAACTCAAACCTAGTCCTATCTCACCATGCATGCAAACAAAACCATGGATGAAGATGGATCAAGGGGAAAGGACGCTGGAGATGTCCGGTACCGAGGCGTACGCCGGCGTCCGTGGGGCAAGTTCGCGGCGGAGATTCGAGACTCCACGAGGCAGGGGCAGAGGGTGTGGCTTGGAACTTTCAACACGGCGGAGGAAGCAGCCAGAGCCTATGACAGAGCTGCTTACGCCATGAGAGGTCCATTTGCAATCCTTAACTTTCCTAATGAGTACCCTATGACTGCTGGTGGTGCCAGTGCTGCCACTCATTCCTCTGCTTCTTCTTCTTCCTCTGCCTCTACTTCAAGGCAAACCAATGTAGAAGGCAGAGGAAGGAATGAGCAAGGAAGACAAGTGTTTGAGTTTGAGTATTTGGATGACAAGTTGTTGGAGGAGCTTCTTGATTGTGAGGACAAAAACAAAAGGGGTCCCTGAAAAACTAGTACTCCTATAACGTTACTCAGGACAATGTTACAATAAATACTAATAATTATGCAGGTACGACTACTATTTACTAAGTGCCATCATATGGTGATGAAGTGTATAATCATCATCCAGTTTATGAATTTTGGTGTAAAATGTAAATATTCATGTCGTTTTGTGACTGTCAAGAGTGCGTTCAAGCAATCACGGCTTGAATGCATTTATGTATTAAAATTTGTGTACTGTCTAGTGCTCAAGCAGTGTCCCCTGCATTATGTTTTATATTTTTTGCTCAATTAAATACGGGATGCGAGACTCTGTTTCACCTGCGCTTTAGATAAATACCATTCCATTTTTCAAAACTCCGTACCATAGAATATGTGCTCATCGTATGTTATATTTTCACATTCACTCTCTTTTATATTTATTTTGCTTTCTTTCACTTGTTTTTAATTTTTTTTTCTTATTACTCTCTTCCTTTATCCATTTGACACCCTAAAATATGGTGTAAAAGAATCTTTTTGCATTTGCTGCTAATACAATGTCCCGCTTTTGTTTCCGTAAGGTGTGTAGTTTACGGTTATACAACTGCAGACAACTTTCTCATGTTTTGATATAAAAAGATTCTTATTTTATTTTTATTCTTTGAAAAGACCATGAGATATCAACAAATTTACCAACTCAGAAAACCTATTTGAAACGTGAGTCACACTTAGTATGTTTCATTTATATTGGGAGATGCATAAAGATGAGTAAAATAAAAGATCAAAACAAGATAAATGTAATTATTATCTTAGTTGGGTGAACTTTTCTGGATGAAAATATTACAGATCTCGGTAGCTTATCCGTCAAAATTTGGAAGATATTCAAAGATAAAATTTGTGAATATGATTAGTGTGGACTAGTATAAATTGGAACCAACTATATTTAAATAAAAGTACAGTTTGATTAAATCTTTGGATTATTTTTAATATTTTAAAATACAACTGCTACATAGATATTTCTTTCGTCAATTTTACGATCAGGTCGCTTCTTTTGACAGTTTATTTATACATAGAGGATTGCTCCTTTCCGTTTATAATTTTATCTTTTTCAAACCATTATTTCAGTAAATACAAATACCGAACAATAATGGTTGACACAATTGGAAGGGTACACCACACATTAACTAAGCTGGTCAGGATTTGAATTTTATCAAAGTTCATCATATATGGATTATCTATTAATAACCTTAGAGGAGATTGTTGAGTTTGAGGCTTGTTCTCACTGTAAATTATTCAGGGGCAATCCATTGTATGTTTAAGTCTAAAACAAATTCTTTTAAATTAGCACCCTATCCTTAATTTTTGTATGCAAATAAATCAAAATTAAATGGAATGAAATTGTTAAAAGAAACATTTAAAATTACGCTTGCAACTGTTTTCTAAAGACTATGCAGTTTATATTGGGCTACTTAATATATATTACCCCATGTAGTCTATATCAAAATGCTAGTAATAAATGAGTATTTTTAAAGTCTTCATCCAACACGAATATATATAACTGCTTATTGCGATAAATATTGTGGACCATTGAATCTTTTGCGTATTTGAGAACTTGCATGCATATATATGCTCCAAAAATAATGTGGACTTCTTTTCCTTTGATTGAGTATGTTGGTTTTCATTCAGGTGTACAAGGCCATGACCGGAGCAACAAATCATCACTCTGTCTCCTATTATCAAATATTGGTTTGTCTTAGTCCTTTATATCTGCCAATTTTATATTCATTTTTCTACGTAGGAATCTAATGCCGTAGCTCATGCTTTAGCCTCTGTGACATTTGAGTTTGCTGGTTGTAGATGGTGGGGAGAGTTCCCAAGAGTTCCAGCAGACAGTGTTTCTTCTCGTTAATAGGATTATATTTTTTGTTTTAATTATGTTGGTTATAATTCTTGTTTAGTATTTTAATTTCTTCTCTTAAAATATGTTGAAAATTAGATTTTGAAGAAATAGAAAAGGGACACATTTTAATTTATAGTAATATATATATATATATATATATATATTTGTATTTATAAAAACAAAGATTAACTTATTTATTTCAATATATCAGTTTTTAATATTAAAAGTTATCAAATAAAAATATGTATTAAAATAAATTTTTTCTTTGCCCCCAAAATCTAATTCTTAAACCTTAAAAATGGTTCGCTGATGTGCAACGGTCAATTACAACAAATTGAATTCAAACCTTTATTTGCATGGCAAAATTTTTAGGAAATTCAAAACCGTTATTGTAATTCATTTTTTTTAATAAAAATATGTAAATTTTATTTTACTAAAAAATATCATTGATTAAAATGTAAACTTAATTATACTTTTAGTTAATTTCATTTTATTTACATACAATGTTGATCCTCTTATTTTTTTTCAAAATAATTAAGATGCTCTATATTCTAAATTAAGTTAATTTGACTTTATCAGTGATTTTTTTATTTAAAACCCTCAAATTTCTATTTTCCTAGTTAAAATTGTTACAAACTATATCGATCTACACAATATATTTTAAACATTATTCAACTCTATACTCACCAATTAAAACATTAAATTTTACCCAAAATTTCCCTCTTGAAATATTAATCTCACGTCTTGTAAAATATTTACAAATTTATCAATTTATACTTCTATTTTTTTTTAACTGAAGTAACTATTTGTAATCTTTTATGTTTAAATTTTAGTTGAAAGATACGAAAACACATCGTTGCCGGTCCCCGCCGGCATCCAACTTTGACATGTTTATGAAACTGTTTCGTTGAATACAACATTGGCAGTAACATGTGCCACACAAATTACTAAACTTTAATGACATTACTCTATGTTTTGAATTGAACTCTTCCAGATATATATTCTCTGTAACGAAATATGTTCCCTACTTGTTCCCCAAAAAATTCCGAGCCTCTACCTGTTCAAATTAGCAATGGATGGATGTATTGTTTCTTTATACAATGTACAGAGACACGCATTTAAATTAATCATTTGAAAGAATTGTATTCTTTCCAACTTTTATTTTAAATTACGTATTAACTTGTGTTTTGATTTTGTTAAATTTCATCATTTATTATTATTGTCACCATTGTGAAATTTGATTTGAAAGTAGAAAAAAAAAGAGAGGTAATAATCTTTTTCGTGATTTAAAAAGAAGTGGTGGACAAGCTTAGGTAATTGGTTCTGCAAATACTTGTCGGAAAAGGATAGCCACTATTTTTATTTTTATTTTTTATTTTTGGTTTTTCCTCAATGAAGACTTGTACCAAGTCGTTCAATGGAGTGAAAAAAGGGCAGAACATATTGCAAGAAAATAAATTTACGAGTTTACAATTTATATCTAGAAATTTAACCGATTAAACTAATTTGAAGGAACTATAATCAATAATTGTAAACAAGAAAAAGTAGCTAGATCGTGTGATAATGACTGTAATCTTTGTCTGACTTTATATTCTGGCAAAATTGCTTAATTAATCCATCATTTATAAATAATAAAATAGTTGATTTTGATTTTCGGCTCCAAAAGTTTGGACCCTGGAATTTGGAATATGACGGTTCTACGAGACGTCCATAAAAGCAGGGAACATATGCTATAGAAAATAAATAAATAAGTAAATAAAAGTGGCTGAACTAAGAAAGTGAATCATGAAGAAACTGGTAACGGACAAAAGTGATATAAGATATTAAATAAAAGAAACACAAGCAGATGAAGCATTTAAAAGCCTCAAATTTAAGTCAATAATATAATCAGTTTATACTACTACTAAAATAAACTATTTTGATTTGATAACCTTAGAGTTATTCTATTTTATTTTTTAAAAAATTTAATAACTATTCTTAAAATTTTAGTCAAGAGATCCAAATTTTAAAAACATTATAAATGCATCTTTACAATGATATTTAATATACATCTCTAATATAATTTTTAATTTTAAATAAAATTATTTATTTATTATTAATTCTCTAATTAGTGCCTTTAAAACATTTATCAGCACGATCCTCTTAATTATTAATGTTATAATTATGTTAAAGTCAAAAGTTTTTCTTCATATGTAAATTTAGAAATAAAGAAAAAAAGGGGTGAAGTTAAGAATGCGTAACTGACGTTTCCTAATAGAGCAGGGACAAGGAGTCATAGCGAAAGACGAGATAGAAACCCTAAACCATGCTATGATCATAGGTCAACCCGTACCCCAAGCTGAGACCTGTCACCATCTACCCCACATGTTGGAAGCTTCAGGCGTGATCATTCATCATTATCATTGAAGGAGCAAGCGTGATGCATTGAGGGCAAATAGCTCATGAAGCATGGACATAGACATAAACCGGACTCAGACATGCACGCATGTACAAACACCAATTATATATATATATATATATAGATTCATTTCATTTAACTTTAATTTAAATATCTATGTATAATTATATGTTAAGAAAAAAACTAGGCAACATCACTACATCACTTGTAGTGATAGAATATACCTAATAAAAAAGAAAACAAAAATCGTATTTGACTCTTCCCTTGTGAGACTGTGATGACTCTAGCAGAGCCTGGGAGAGTTGGACATAAAAAAAATGGATAACAAACTTTGAAGAGGGATATTTAAAAAAAATGAAGGCCCAAGCCCAACACGCATCAAATAAGGAGCATAAGCAAGTTAGATGCAATCATATTGGATATCTATAACACTGAACAATATTTGATTAGAGCTTGTTTGAGCCAATAATCTGAAGTCAGAGAAAGAATTGAGAGTAATACGCCCAAAATCAAAACCATATTTGCATGCACACCTCCGAAAATCATCTTTGAAAGTTAAAATTAAAAAATAATAATAATAACAAATGAAAAATTGCACCTAAAACCTCTTCATCACGAATCAGCCTTGTGTCACATCTGCTTGTAATCATGAACTTGTTTGATAAAAATATGTGACTGATGACAAATAAAAAAAAGGTATCTGAAATGGTGAACGTGCATCCATCCACTG